GCACCCACTCATAAAGTGCATTATGACTAAAAGGGTGATGAATAGATGTCAGGGCCAAAATTGGATTTTCTGAGTGACACACTCATAAAAAAAGATGTTTCTTCAAGCGTTCTTTGGTAAAGAGAATGGGTCCCTATCTAGAACCACAAACACTCAGAGAGCCCTTTGCATGATTAAAGGGATCTTTGCATCATGAAGTTTTTTCAGATTGATGGAGAATGTGTTGTGGATGGTTCTATATAGAACCTTTGTGAAAACAGTTCTATGTAGCAGCAAAAAGGATTCTAACGTTATTATGATGTCAAAATGACAAAACCCTTTTTGGTTATATATAGAACCATTCATCTATAGCACATTCTTCATCAATCTGAAGACCCCTTTCATGATGCCAAGAACCCTTTAATCATACATGGTCCTTTGCAGGGTACTTTGAGTATTCATGGCTCTATACAGAACCATTTTCCAAAAGGTTCTCTATAGAATCATCTATTGCACATTCTTCATCAATCTTAAAACCCTTTCACAACACCTAGAACCCTTTAATCAGGGAAAGGGTTTCTTGAGTGTGCATGGTTCCATATAGAACCATTTCATTTACTAAAGAACCCTTGTAGAACCATTTATTTTTAAATGTGTGAGAGTGCAGTTGGGTTAGTATTTTTATCAGGGGCCCTTAAGTGGGCCTGGTCACTGTGGGGCCCACTGTGACTCCGCCCCTTGTAGTTATGCCACTACTATGCATATTTAAATATTGTTGTGCATTATTATATATATTATTGTATCATTTAAAGTCTTTACAGAGAAAAAATAACGCATTTTCTTCACATGCAGCAAAAAAGGGTTCTATATAGTACTAAAACAGGGTTCTTTGATTAAGAACAATAGTGGAACCCTTTTTGGTGCTATATACACACCCATTTTTAAAAAGGTTCTTTAAGTAAACATATATGACTGGTTCTCTATCATAGGGAAGAATCATTTATCCATGCTAAGAACCATTTATGCATTCAAATTCTTCTTTGAGTATTCACAGTTCTACTAAAGAACACTTTACTAAAGAACCCTTGAAGAACCATTTTTTTAGAGTGTACTGTCATTTTCAGAGTGTACTGAGTGAGTCTCGGTTTCAGGGAGCTGGCTGAGTGCTTTAGGTGAGTGAGGCTGCTGGAAGGCAGTATATGATAATAATTATTCTTATGATTATTTTGCCCCGCCCACTGGTACAGCGTGACGTAAGCAAAAATCTGAAGAGGCTTTAGAGGAGGCAGAAGTCATTACACTTCGATTAAAAGTACAAGAAAACAAGAGCTTTGTCTTTTAAATGATAACATAGGACGAGTCCAGCATGATACGACCAGAAACACGAACAGCAAGGTGTGAAAACAAGGTCAGTGTTTCTCTCAGGTTGACTTTAAAGCAGCACTGACTCGCGCTGTGATTGATTTGGCTGTGTTGTGTAGACGTGAAGCGGCTCGTGCCGATGAGAACTGAACTGAAATGAACTGAATCAGGTCTGCTGTATTGAAAACGATAATAGAGTTAAAGCTTTTAGTTGCTCTTTAACTGGGAAATCCAGCCTTTAGTCGTGCTTATTAGCTGTTGTTGTTGTTTGGTGACTTTCTTTCAGTCACGCGCGCCTGACTGGCTTAATGACCGCTGTGTTAACAGTTTAAGCCTGTTTTAATGTCTTTCACTGTTAGTTCGTGTGAATCAGGCCGTATTCATCCACACTGGACGCTGCTCTGATCTTTTCTTCTCTTCGTTTGTTTTTCACTCAGAGGCGGGGGGGCTCTGTCCGAGCGCGTGGACTCGGTGTTCTTTTTTTCCTTTTAATCCCGCTCGCGCTCAGTGCGCGTTCACGTGCGCGCGGACAAGTCCGTTTGGAAAGGAAAGCGCTGCGCGCGCCCATCCGCTTCCATTCAGACTGGAAACGCAATGAAAAAGCAAATAAGACCCGCACGCATTCGGAAACTCATAATCATCACAATAATAATAATAATAATAATAATAATAACAACAACAATGATTATAATAATCATCATCATCATCACCATCATCATCATCATCATCATAATAAAATGAACAACAACAACAACAATAATAATAATAATAATAATAATAATAATAATAAAAATAATAATAGTCATCATCGTTTGTTCTGCATCAGTCACGGTGTATAATTTGTGAGAGGTTTTTTCTTTTTAAATCAACAGGCAGATCAACCTAAAACAACAGAAAGAGGGTCAGAGCGCGCGCGCTCTCACGTTCACCCGCCAAACCCGGTGTAGCGAAGGCCTCCCGCGCGCTCACACACACTCTCACTAAATGCCCACACTGTCCAGAGAGCTCGCGCTCGCCAGATTCTCTCTAAAAGAACACATAACCCTTCCCATATCTCCGCCGCGTGCCCACCGGACAGCTCCGGGAGAGCTCGCGAGGGGCAGGTACAACACACACACACACGCGCGGCACGTCCTCTTCACCTCCTCGCGCTTTCCCTGTTGTTGTTTTTTCCCTCTTTCATGTCCTGACGTGTTTTCCATCCCGCGTGCCCACCAGTGAGACAGAGAGAGAGAGAGAGAGAGAGAGAGAGAGAGAGAGAGAGAGAGAGAAGCATGCGGCCGGTCAGAAACTGCGGCCCAAACAGCGGTCACTGCCCCATCACCGCACTGACCGCTCCTAGTCTATTATACATAATAAATCTCTATATTTTTATGTTCCTGTTTATATATATTTCTGTTTGCCACATTCAACAACAGATAAAGGTATAAATTAGCACTTTATTACTGTACACACCGAAAAACATGGTTCTGTTTACAACTGTGAGTTCTAGATAGAGTCATCTGCATGCTTTAAGGATTTTTTGCATGGTGAAATAGTTCTTCAGATTGATGGAAATTTTGTTGTGTAAGGTTCTATATAGAACCTTTTTAATAATAGTTCTTTATAGCACCAAAAAGGGTTCTTCTACTGTTACAAGCTTGACATCGTTACAACAGCAGAACCCTTTTTGGTGCTATATAGAACAATTTTTAAAAAGGTCCTACATAGAACCATATACAACACGTTCTCCATCAAATTGAGGAACCATTTCACCATGCAAAGAACCATTTAAGCAGACAAATGTGAAGTCGTGGCTCTAAAGAGAACCATTGCCTTTACTAAAGAACCCTGGAAGCACCCTTTTTTTAAATGTGTAGAATATTAAACTGCATTATTACTATAATATTACCATATTAGATGTGTATATATTATTTTAGACGTGTTATTTATTTTAACTATGACTTTCGTGTTAATCCAACTGTAATATTGTCACATTTTTTTTTTCTAACAATATCAACAGCGCGCGCTGAGACTGTCTCTTATTAAGACAATACTTAAGATGTTGTCTTTACAGGCTACGTCGTAAATGAAGGGGTTTGTTTACTTTAATTACTCTAATTTAACGTGATTGCGATTTTATTTTTGCTCAAAGTCGAGCAGCCAAATAAATCATACAGGTTACATATTTTAATGAATCGTCTCCGGGATTTTAAACGTGTGTTTTGGGTTCATGCTGAAAAGCAAATTGAGGGAAAAATTCACATAAAGGAAAAATAATAATTGAATGAAATAAAATAAAGAAAGGGGGGAAAGTGAGAGCCGAGACCCAGCGGCTTCAGAGTGACCACAAAAATGTTCAGCAAAATATTACAAATGATATAATTTGCATACGTAATATATAATAGCTTACATACATACATGCAAACAAAGAAGCAGAAAACATGCATGGATGTTGTTTTTCACGTTTTCTAGAATCCTGTGATGCTATGTATGCGCGCGCTTGTGTGTCTGTGTGTATAAACTCATCTGAAAAAAGACTATAAAAACCTCAGTTGCTCTCCTGCAGTGACTGAACAACTAAATACAGAAATAAAGCATTAATATGTATTTTTTCATACAGTAAATGCAGCCAAAGGCTGAAAGCTAGGGGAAAAAAGCAGCGCTGGATCTCAGAGAAGCGCGCGATGTTATTTTTTTCCCACCCGTTTTCCAGTAAGCCCAACAAGCCCCGCCCTCCTGCGCTGTGATTGGCTAGTAGTTTGTACTCCCAGGCTGCCCACAGTTCTGGAACGCTTTGCTCGAACTGCTAGCCAATCCCTGCGCTAGGAGGCGGTACGTGACGAAAACGAGTGGGAAAAAAACAAACGACACCTCAGAAGAGACACTTCGGTCACGCACAGGTTCACGCAAAAAAGTACTGAATATTAAAAAAATAATAATCCCTGTCTATCCGACAAACAACAAGATGAAATATCGTTGCATGGCTAATTTATTGTTTTGAAAAACAAACAAACAAACAAAAGTCAGATCAGGCAGCCTATACCATTCCACACCCGTTTTCAGCAAAGAAGACAATTTTATTTTTTAAACTGATTAATTATTTGCGTTGATTTAGTGGTTAAATAGATAGATGAATAATAAATAGACTAGTGCACCACATTTTCACAAATGCACAACATCTAATGCGCAGTATAGTGAAAACATTCCACACAAAAAGCCCCCCAAAAGCTTAAAATATCAAAATCATCGCTGTTAATCGACGATTACAAATCGTTACCATGTTTGCAAACCATCTTAACTGCAAACTAAGCCCCAGCTAAGGTTATAAGCAGAACATTGTCTTATGTTTTAAACTTCATTTCACCCACAACTAGCGAATGCACATACAAATAGCTTTAAATACCGCTAAACTGTAGATATTTACCAACAATAATCGACAATTAATCGACCAATAACGCTACAAATCCTTTCCTAATGAAGCCCCATCACTTTGTCAGCAAAGGTAATAACAGGCAAGAGAAGAGAGCGTTTCTTTATCTTTTCTTTCAGCTGTTTTGTCCTCATCCCCCTGGCGAGCCTCCGGTCGCTCCTTATTGGCAGCGCGCGCCGTTACATCACCACGACGACGCTGCTGCCGCGTGACGCGCGCGGAGGGTCCTTCCTGTTTCCTTCGCTCGCGTCTTTAAGTGGCTCGCGCTGCCGGAGGAGCCGCAAAAAAACGAGAGGACCGGCGCGCGCTCTGTCTCTCATACACATTCACACACTCACACACACACACACTCACTCTCTCTCTCTCTATCACACACACGCGCTCTCTCCCTCATCCCTCTCTCTCGCTCTCTCTCTCTTTCTCTCCCACGCGCATCGCTCAGTTACATCGCGCGCGCTTCGAGCACGTCCTTTTTCTCTCTTTCACTCTCTCTCTATTTTTTCTCCCCTCGGATAAAAGAAACAGGGATTTTTTTTCCTCTTTTGTCCGGCTTGCGTCCATTTGCAAGGTGAGTAAACACTCTAGTACAGATCTTGGAAACCGAACAAAGCGCAAATCGGCTGTTTTGCGCTTTAAATGAAGTAAAGAATAAGGAAAAGGCGAGCCGCAATTTTTGCGCTTTTGTACTTGTGCTGTGTTACAGGGAGCTCCTGCTGGCTGAAGTGTCCGTGATGGTGCTTTAAAGCTGCTCGTAGTTCGCTCGCGCTGCTCTCCCTTACACGCGCTTCCCCGCTTTATTATTTCCACATTTGCTCCGCGAAGTTTTTTTTGCGCGTTTGTAGTGGCGTTTTTAGCCTGTTTAGGGTTGAGTTCTGCCCCATGCTGGGGGTTATTTGCACCCCTCCCCTCCTAAGCGCGCTGTCCTGGCCGGTCATTTCCCCGGGGAGGGCCGGGTGTGCGGGTTTATTTGCTCTATTAGAGGTTTAACCTCATTCAACACCCGCAAAGTTATGTTCTCGTTTTGCGCTTTTGCGCACTTGAACTTGGATGTTTCTGATTCTTATTGTGGCCAGTGGCAGCGAGTTGTTTTATTCTCTTTCTGCTTTTTTCTTTCTCCTTTTAGTGACACGTTGCGGTGAGTCGCCCTAAATGTGAGCGAAGGGGAGCCGGAGCTTTTTTCTGCTCCTCCGCTTTCGCTCCTTGTCCGTCAATTCTGCGAAACGGACTGAAAAGCGGCGAGGCTTGTTGCGCATGCGTGGGGAGGGAGACAGGTGCGCGGTGAGGAAAGACAGACAGGTGCTGGGGAGGCGTCTGGCGCGCGCGCGCGCACGCACACGTTTAAAAGTGCTTGTTTTTGTTGTATGGCGTGTGCGTATTTGCGCATCTTTGAATTCACCCATTGGGTTATTTTGACTTTTGTCACGTCAGTTTAGATCGGATATAGTTCAGATGAGATAATCAGGGTTCGTGTTGAAGTTTAAGTCAAACAAGTCTCTATTTATAAATAACAATGCACACATGACGTGATGTAATAGGTGTTTTATTGTTAAAAATCGAAACCACATAGTCTAGATAAAAGAGTAGACACAAATGTCTGAACGACCGAGCCTTCTTATTCTTAAACATGAGCCTGAATGTTGCCTTTTTATGCCATTACGTTAAAGCAAAGCGAATTAATATTGGCGAATTTTGCGAAATTGTTTTATGCAGGAGAAAAAAGCGAAGTTGATTTTTCAGAGAGAGTGAGGCTGATGCATGGGGAAGTTAGGCTGAATTTCAGCCTGCTCTTCCTCTCTCACACTGAGGAGTGAAACTCGCCAGTTCCTCCACACTAACCTCCGAGATATCACACCGTAAAAAAAGTTACTTTAGTTTTAAAACAAGTGTCTGATTTATGCTGAAACTCCAACAGCAAGTTTAATCCCAAATTGCAGAATATGGTGGATACGAATTGGGGACTTTAAAAGTCATAAATTAAAAGCCTAAATCTTTTCTTTGTCCATTCATTTTCAAGCGAGACCTCTTTTTGTACGATCATTTAACTTGAAAGAGGAGCGATAAGCCAGTCTACATGTAAAATATCAGTTTCAAAAATCTGAGCTAGAGTCTTGCTTCTTGCTCGTGCGATTACCATTGAAACCTGTTTGAGTTGCACATTTATGTAAAAAGCGTATATCCAAAAAAAAGGACGAATTAAATGCGCGTAATATTTTTGGCACTGATTAAACGTCGATACTTGAATTTGGCTTGTTTGGCTTTTTTACACCCTTTCTTCAAGTCCAAATTTGGACACAAAATGTGATGAATGTACTTTGTAAAATATGAAACTGATGTGTGAATTGCTTCATATATATATATATATAATATATATATATATATATATATATATATATATATATATATATATATATTGAAAAGAGGAGCCTTATTCTTTAAACGCCCTGATGTTCAACTCCTGTGTCCTCCAAAAAAACTGAATGTGACCTTTTTGACCTCTTCCTCTATACCACCATAATATCTAAAATAATAAAGTAAAAATAACAACCACAGTTTGTTGTTTTTTTTAAATTTATGATTTTAATAAAACCTCTCATTTTCATCAGCTGTCGAAAAATTATATAATTCAAAACACCCGGGTCACAGGTGTTTGAGCTGACATTATATCATGCCTGGTTGAGACAATGGCTGAGTCTGATAACCGTGGGAATAATTTCTGTTGTCATCTTTGTACCTCTGTGTTATTAATCTTCATGTTTTTTTAAAACCATAAGTTCTTACATGTTGTCCCTGGTCCAAATCTATGTAATTGAGGACAGTAGAAAGGCGATTAACATAATTTTATGCAGCTTTTGTTGTTGTTGTTGTTGTTTTCCATGTGAACCGACAATTGTTGCTCTGTTTGTCAGTAGGGCAGCGTGCAGAATGTAGGACTTTGCTTGTGTATGCAAAGCGGAGGTGCTTTCCCCCATTATCCACCACCATACACCCACTCGCACTCTCCGTTTGCTTTCTGTCCTGACGTTTCATAAAAACTTTCATAAAATTTCATCAAAAAACAGACTGTGTTAAGGATAACATAGAATTAAGGTTTGTTTTAGGCAGATTGTCTTATGCATAAAAAATAGACATAGGAATGAGCAACCCATTTTTTTTTTTAGTCTTCTCTGCCTTTGCTTTGAATGTGCCATGTATGTGTTTTGACTGGAAAATGCTGTGCGTTATGTAGTTATTATACTGTTATTTTTGTTTGGTTAATATAATTTTTCTAGTAATATTGTACGGCATAGTTTAAATTATATGTACCTTCTACAAGAAATAAGTAAGGGGAAATATGTAGAGGGAATACGTAAAACAAGCCCAATGCCTCATATAAATGGTTGGGGAAAAAAATAGGACTTTTACAATTACGGTGTTAGTGAACCATGTTTTGTCGTTTTGTCCCTCTCTTTGCCTGCAGATAACTGGAGTGGTACTGTAACAGTGCGAGCCCTGGCCTGTGAGAAATGGCTCAGTAGTAGCACCAGGGATGCCGGACCATGACAGTGAGTCCCTCCTAAACCGACAGACCAAAAGAAGACGAGTGGACATTGGCGTGAAGAGAACCGTGGGTTCAACTTCCACACCTACACCGGCAGCCTCTGCTGACAGTATCGCAGCCCGCGCAGCCAAATCCGCCGCCATCTTCGGGGCCATGAACGCCCATCACAGCCGGGAGCAGGACCTGCTGGAGTGCCAAGGGACACAGCTCGGGCACGAGGATGCCACTGAGACCAAATCCAATGTGCTCCGGAAGCTTCTTAAGAGGGCCAACTCATATGAGGATGCGATGATGCCCTTTCCTGGTGCCACTATCATTTCACAGCTTCTGAAAAGCAACATGGCAAAAAATGGAGGAAGTGGAGGAGCGGAGCCAGGGTTCCATGGTAGCGCCCTCTCCAGCACAGGATCTGAGGTGCCCCAGGAGGATGCATGCAGTAATTCATCCCAGGACAGCCCTCAGGAGTGCCTCTCACCCTTCGGCCGCTCCACACTGAGTCACTTTGATGTCGAACGACTCAATGATGAACACCTCCGAGCTAAGCGTGCTCGTGTAGAGAACATCATACGTGGAATGAGCCACTCCCCCAGTGTTATGATGCCATCAAACTCCAGCACAAAGGAGCGAGAGCGGGATGGGGATGGAGAAGCAGAGGGTCCTCAGCAGCCATCTAGCCCACGTGATGGCTACCGCGAGAACAAGCGCAAGCAGAAGCTTCCTCAACAGCAGCACAGCTTCCAGCAGCTGGTGTCAGCGCGCAAGGAGCAAAAGGTGGAGGAACGCAGGCAGCTCAAGCTGCAGCTCGAGGACATGCAGAAACAGCTGCGACAGCTGCAAGAGAAGTTCTTCCAGATTTACGATAGCACTGACTCTGAAGGGAATGACCCAGAACATGATGGAGGAAACCTCTCTGAAGACAGCGGCCGTTCTGATGCTGGACTCATCGATGGCGATATTGATGAGCGCCCTGTGCGGGATTCTGCTGCCGATCGTTCCGATAATGAAATGTCAGACTTGGATCCAGGGCACTTTCTGGACCGGGCAAGAGCGTTACTAAAGGAACAATCCCTGCTAGATGGAGAGAAGCCCAAAAGGGAGGGTGCGCTGAGGAGCAAGGGTCAAGGTCCAACTTCTATGCACGCAGAAGGCAAACAGCTTGCTGAGACGCTGAAGCAGGAACTAAATTCTGCCATGTCCCAGGTTGTAGACACTGTAGTAAAGGTCTTTGCAAAACCTCCACGGCCTCTCCCACAGGTGTTCCCACCACTTCCTGCACCTCAGGATCGTTTCAGCATCAACGGAGACAACCCGAACTTTCACACAGCCAATCAGAGGCTTCAGTGTTTTGGCGATGTGATAATTCCCAGCCCTCATGAATCGTTTGGTGGAGTCCCGCTCCCCAGTGCCAATGATCAGACCGAGGCACTGCCTCTAGTGGTGCGGAAGTCTGCATCCGAGCACCACCACCAATCGTCGGCAGTGGGTGCTCATGGAGGCCACCACCATCCCTCCCTACACCCCTCTTCCCTCTCCGCCAACATGGGCTTCAGTCCGCCATCTTTTCGCCATCCCTTTCCTCTTCCTCTCATGGGGTACCCCTTCCAGGGCCCGCTTGGTGCCCCATCGGTAGGGTACCCAGGCAAAGACAGAGGCTCACCTGATTCCATGGACCTCTCACGGGAGACCACCAGCTTACGGACCAAGATGGCATCAAACCACCATATGGGGCACCATCGGTCCTGTTCGCCAACCCACCCAGGGAGCACAGCTGAGAGTCTGTCTCTATCACTCATCAAGTCTGAGTGTGGAGACCTTCAGGACATGTCTGACATCTCGCCATATTCAGGGAGTACAATATCCTTTTTAAACCTGGCCTTTTTTCTTGCTTGACCTCTGCTGTTGTAATATTTTCATATTTATAATAATAACATAATCCTGCACTATCCAATTGCACTATCCAAAACCAGATCCTCTTTGTTTGAAGACTTGGAACATTTTCTTTTTGTTAAACCTGTAAGCACCAGTTTAATCAAGAACTTAACGATTAAGCTATCCTAATGATTAGAAGGAACATTCTAAATGCTACTTATTCTACAGTCATCCTACTCTATAGCACTATTAGAAAAACTCAGCTCAGACCTCCGTTAGAGTGGCCTTCTACTTGCTCGTTTTTTTTTGTGAAGTCACCCTAGCGTTTCCATTTCCAACTCAAGTGCCTTTCACCAAGAACACTCACCCCACCAGACATACATTAGAGTGCAGTGTCCTCTGATTCCCATGGTTTAACCCCATGTGATGGCCTTGTGATAAGGGTGCATAGGCCAGAAGGATGGAGGTTTCAGGTTAACTCCTGAGGGACTGAACGTAGAATGGGTCTCACTGCTAAGACAGTAGATGTCTCTTTTACTGTCTTTGTGTAACAGTCCACTCATTCTAACCTGATAACTGCCACGTCCACGGCCAAAATTGTGGTGTCATTGTCACCACTGATACTCTATATATTTTACTGTCTATATTCATTGCACTTAATAAGCCTGGTCACAAAAAAAAACAGATCCTTACATTTAAAAACATTTAAATTAAAATTTGCATACTTTTTAAACTGATTCAAAATAATTTTGGACCTTTAGGGCATAATTTGGTGACTAATATCTCTGTTGCCAAGCTTCGAGGTTCAACTAAGGTCTCAAGGCCTAGCCCCCTGTCTGTGTTTTGTATGACTGACAGCTTCCAGCTCTGTCATCCCTCATCATATCCTATTATAGAAAAAAGAGAGAGGAACAATTATCCCTCCTTTTCATTTTTTCCCCCCTTTTGATTCATAAAGATCTGTCAACAACCTGAGGGCCCTCAGCTGTTGCTTGGCAGCCAAACAATCTCCCTCTTTTTTTTTTTCCTCAATGCTTTTTTTTTTCTTTCTTTCTTTTCTTTGAAGCGGGCATTAACAGGTGTTTGCGGCTGTCTGTTTGTCTTTCATTACACTGCCTCGTCTTGTCTCCCGAGCCAAGGGCCCCTGCGTTCTCCTCAGCCACCCCGTCCAGAAACCAGAGCGGGGGGAATAAAGGAAGAGAGGGATGGAAAGCAATTAAACAATGACCCTGCACACCAGCCGCAGTGTGTTTTATTATAGCTATTTGAAAATGATTGCACTTGAAAAGATTAGCCAGTGAAAAAGAATAGTGGATGTTGATTAGATGAAAAACTAACCTTCCCAATATGTACATGGAAGCATTTTCAGATACTAAAACAGATATTAAAGCTAAGATTTGAAAGAAGTAGCATTAAAAATGGAAAGAAGTAGCATCACTGAGTCAGGAGAAAAAAATTAAAATATGCTGCATGTTAGGTAGGCGTCCGATTGAATGGAAGTTTTTTGGACCACATCATACATCTTTACATATCAATGTCACATGCACAGGCTCAAAAAGAAGGTCCGGCTCGATGTTTAGGTCTCAAATGTAAAATCAGCATTATGTTGCTGAAGATATCATGACAAAAGTAGACAATTCACTTCTCTTTAAATACTCTTTCAATGTGCGCCCAATCATCAGATTGATCCACTAAGGGAAGCACAACCCACATTCCAAAATGTTCTTCCACATCTTGTGTGCAATTACACATTTTAACCAGAGAGGTCTCCAACGTCCCAAAAACATGCATAGTGTAGCTTTAACATTGGTAATTGCAAGTAATACATAATTATTCTGGGCCGAAAAAGCAAGGCTCAGATTTTAGGTTGTTAGGTTGACTATAGGGTTCAAATTCAGATGAGGAAAATATATGCAAGATGATATACTTGACAACTAAGTATTATTAGGGGTTGCTACTGGATCAAAATCTTGTAGCTCAGAAATGATAAACTTTCCATGAAAGATTCTCTTATTCTAAGTCATTTTGGACCATCTCTATTGGTCTATTTATCATGAAATTTTGAAGAAATGGACAAAAATGAAGACCCAAGGTTTCATTTCAATAGTAACAATATGCTGACAACCGGGCAGCCCAAAATGTGGCCCACAGGCCAGTGTTGGCTTGAGAGGATGTTTGATTTAGTTCGGCCAAAGGTTAGACTAACCTTACCCCCTCACCCAATGAGAACAGATATTATGATTTAAAATGTATTCAATTCTTATTTTTAAATACTTATTCTTTCCTTGTAAAATTTAATTTTGATGCATTTTAGTAACAAAATCTAATATAATCTTACAAAATATATTCTTCAAAACTTTAAAAGCTACCGCCCTTTGCAATGTATAAATATATTGTTTTGTCTTTTTGGCCAATACTGCACTTTGGACCCCCAAGCCAAAAGGTTTAGGCAGCCACGGTTTAGGGCATCAGCAGGATAAAGATTAGGTAAAAGTATGAGAAGCATAGCGGATGGTTCTCTGGTGCCTGGGAATGGGGTTATGGAAGTGTTGGGAATGAGGTTAGGCACAAGTGGGAACACTATGTTGGGAATGGGGTTACCACGGATTTAAGAATGGAGGTAGTTTGGCAGTAAGAGGGATGGGATTATGGCTCAGGATATGGTGTAAATAGAGATTTGGGAGTTTCCTACAGCTTGTTTCTGTCTAAGGATGACATTTCGTTTATGGCTCGTATTGAGCAATCTCAATCGGGTTTGAGCAGTGGCAGGTGAAAGTTGCCTCAGTGTGGCCACCGGGTTACTGGCAGCTAGTCTCTGTTTGACAGACACACAAAAGGCCCAGAGCCGGTGTCAGAGGAGGCAGGGCTGGGGAGGAGGGTGCGGAGGACTCTTTGTCTGGCAGAATCGCATAATCAGCCATTTTGTTGTGTGGCGGAGGTTAGGGCAGGAGAACGTCCTCTGCAGGAATGTCACACTCAGTCCCCCGTTCGCACTTACAATGCGTTCTTAGCTTAAATAGATTATTGATGAAAGCAGAACGCATGGTGGAAAAAGTGCAGATTGGACTGAAACAGCCGGACAACTGGCCAAGCAGTTTTTCCTCCCTCGCAAAGAGAAACGCCGATAATCAACACAGCGGACCCGACGCGTTCGCTTTGCCGTGAACTTGCACGAAGATGTCTTAAACAAACTGCCTGAAAATTGTTCCGCATAACTTTTTCTAACACCACGTTGGAAGCCTGAGAGTTTAACTTGCCAAGCAATTGATGGAAACGGTGTGTTTAAAAACAGCTCATCACAAATTTTATGGAGACACTGAAAATATCATTACACATCATTACAAACTAGCAAAGCTGAGGCCCCCATAAAAGCAACTTTATTGCTACATAACTACAGGACGTTCATTTCTTCATGGATGTTACACTGCAAACATTTAACTTTTATTTGTGTTTGCATTGTTAAACTTGTCTTCAGCTTTCTAGCTTTCATGTTTTCTTTCTGCGGTCGCACATGATCCATTCATCCGTGGCGCTGAATGAAGTAATGCTGCGAAAGAAAAGAGCAGCTTGTCCCTCTTTCATTCTCTCTGGCCTTTGTGCTCATAAAGCAAGACCAGATGGCACGAGAGAACGAGAGAGGGAGCGAGAGAGAGGGAAAGAGAGAGAGAGAGAGAGCGATAGATGCGCTTTTCCAACTAACCACCCCCTCCTCTTTTCTCTCTCCGTTCCCTTTCCCTTTTTTTCTCTCTCTCTCTCTTTCTCTCATTCATGTGGAGTACTCTACTTAGGGGCTCCTTTGAGTCTTTGAATGTGTGCACACTTACAAGACGTGTTTATGTTTTCGGATTAACCATATTTACATGACAAATGTGTCATTTTACAGTCATATTGTGGGATCAAAGAGATGTCTTTAGATAAATGCTGACCGGTTCCTAGGCATGTCAGTCTGTCCTTCCCAACCTCTAAATGTAACAGTCAAATTGAAACCTACAGAGATGATATAGGGTGGCAAATTTGCTGTCATGAGGCCATAACAGCAGTTTATTATGAAGTATGTGGGTGTGTATTGTGTAGGTGCATAAAAGATATTTACTTTAATACTGTGAACTTTACTACTCATAGTTAACCTCATAAACTTTCTGCATATTATTCAGTTATTCATCTTAAGAAGTAGTATTTAGCAATTAACATTAGAGATAGCACTGATTTGTTAATTGTAGTGTTGTGGGTAATTTGGTGCAACGTTACTTAGTGACTAACTTACTTTTTTCCCGTAACAAAACAACGTAGCACAATACTTTTAAGTTCTTGTAATCACATAGCAGTTACTGACTTAACGAGAATTTGTTTAGTTGCATCACTTATATGCAGCAGGGTGGGTTTCACTTCACTTCAACCCATCATGTAAGTGTTTTATAGTCATTATTAGTGTTAAAGAAAAATGTAACATTATGTCATTAAACAGTAATTTTCTGTAGCAAGGATCTATATGTACTGTTAAAAAGCAAAGTCTGGAAAGTCTGGATGTGTTCAGATCAAGATCAAGACAATTCCATCCCCTTCAAACTTTGAGAGGGCCACGTCCACCCTGCCCTCTTCTTTAACCCTTTAATCTGCGCCAATGCTTTTATTTCTCTAAGCAAATAATGTAACTTATGCACAACACAATTAAACATAAATTCTGTGCTTGTGTATGTGTGTCAATTGACTGCGCAACTTGGATCATGTATATGATCAGCGTAAGACAGGTTGTACCCTGACTCAGGAGGACGAGTCCAAAAGTATGTCGCTGCTGTCAGAACAAAACCTTGTATCTCCATTTTTGTCATTTCTCAGTTTTTGGCATAAATTGAAGAAGCCTGTTGCCCTTTACATTGTGTGGAAATTTCTTGACGAATGCATGAAAAGAAATGACCCAAACGCACTGGGAAAAAAATCTGGTTCCATTGGCTTACATTGAAAGTAAAGTATATTTTTTCCTTCTCCTGTAAAGTTACCATTTTGGAGATGTGAGATTTTGTTCTGACAGCAGTGATATGTTCATTAATTTGAATTAATTGTACATAAGATTAAAATACAGGGAAGTGTAAGTTATACCCAAGCTTGAAAAAACTTTCCACCACTGTGAACAATCTGCAGTCTGCCCACCATGGGGTTTTATCAGAGACTGCTTGTTAATATATAATGTCTAAAGATTTATGCACCATAGAAAAGACTCCAAACTGTCCAGATTTCGGTTCAAATGTTTAAAATACCACAAATGTAAGCAAGATCTTGTTACTTGTTGAACCTATCAAACAGCTTGGTAAGCTTTTCTGTATTGTATTCATAATCAATTTGTTCTGTGGGTTAGTCAACTGGTCAAGAAGTTTCAGCATGATAGCTTTTAAAAATTTTACCGAATAAATATTGGATAGATGTTGCTATCAGCCAGTGCTCAAGGCACTCAAGTCATATGATGGTGTGTACACCTTCAATATAAACAGTGGTTTCAAATTTCAGCCTTTAGAGTTTAAGGGGGTTAAAGAATATCCGTTGTTTATCAACTTTTCTTAATGCAATAAGATAGAGCAAAGAAACACAGCAGCTCCTTTACATTTGGAACACAAAAATGTAGCTCTTGAGGTTTTGACCTGAGCTCGTCATGCCTTGTGAGAGACCCAGAGGGTTCCTCCAAGTGCTTACCGCTGTATTTGTAGGTGCCATGCAAATCTCCCCTCGCTCTTTTACATCTGAAGGAGGAGGTTGGCCGAGGCGAAGGGCTTAGGGAAAGACGTTGCTCGCTTTGCCTGCGAAATGGCTTTCTCATGTAAAACCGGCTTGGCCGTGGCGTTTTATTGGCCGTGACGCCGCGGCACCTTGAGTAATGATGATGATAATGGCAAGCAAATCCTGCCCCTGCTCTCCGCTCGGGGCTCAGCTGCTTTTCCTTAACCCGCTCATTTGCACATTCAGGAAGGGCTTTCCCCCAACCACCTGAAGAAGGCCAAGCTCATGTTCTTCTACACCAGGTACCCCAGCTCCAACATGCTGAAGATGTTCTTCTCTGATGTCAAGGTGAGTGGACCACTTTTGGAAGTTTGTAGAGTAAAGTAAAGTTTGAGTTATTGTGTCACTTTTTGGTGGGAGGGTGGTACTTGTCCAGGTGAGTTCACTTGTCCAGGTGAAATCACTTAAGAATGCTGGCCAGCCACTGGTGGTGTTAGGGAAATGTTAAGTGCCACAGCTGTTGGTGTTGGTTAAGGCCAGTGGAGATTAATTTGGGTGAATGACATATCTGCACCAGCCTGATAGGCTGGTAGGTGGATGGATTGGTAGACAGTAAGTCAGATGGAGGCATATTGGCAGATAAACAAGCTGATTGGTTGGTAGGTAGACAGGTACATAAGTACTGAGAGTACTGGTCAAAAGTTTGGCCACCTCTATTTTTATGGTTTTCCACATTTCAGAATGACAGTCAAAGACATCAAAACTATAACATTCCAGGGACCAAAACAAAACTAAAATATCTTCTATTTTTCATTCTTTAAGTCTGCCTTGATGGAGCTTTCCACACTCTTGCTGTTCTCTCAGGCAGCTTCATGAGGAGCCACCTGAGATGCTTCTGCAGATGAGTTGAGAACTTGCTTAAAGTTCTCATCTACACCTTTGAAAAAGTGGTTCTTCAAGAGTTCTTTATAAAAGGTGATGATATTTTACTGAAAACAAGAAAGTTGAAAAGCATAAACGAAACACGTACATGACAAACAAAGGCTTAATTGTGTGTGAGAACTAGTGGTTGATGAGATCTTCTCAGACCACACAGAGAGTGTATGAGCGTGAGGGCTAGGATGAAACCTGTGACAGATTCAGGCCATCTTATTCAAATGAACAGACAAACTTCCCCTTTTTTTACCAGCTGCCCTTGGGTCACTGTAGCCACGGTGACAAACAATCCACAATCATGTGACATAACTCACACCTAGACATTTACCACAGGCAGGTATGCTTTTTCTCCAAAGTACAGCCATTTACTTCTTGTCAAAAGTTTGGGGACACCTTCCAAGCAGTATACTGCTCAATTTCCATGGTTACTTTTCAATTAAGCAAGAAAACAAAGGTTTAGATAGCACAGAATAGTTATGTAATCCTTTGGGTACATTTTAGCATCAACACTCAGCTTTATGTTCATCAAAGTATCTTCCTTGGTGTGAAGAACAGGTTTTGTCTAGATAATCATTTCTCTTCCAAACTATTGTTCAAAGAACATCCTGAAACTAATTTTAACCTAAAAGTGGTTAAATATCTGAAAAGTTTGAGTGCTGACATCACAAAAAGGGATCAAATGGGTGACCTTTGGCTTTATTTCCAAAGATACACACTTAAAAAATATGGTTCTTTAAGAGTACTTTAGTAAAGGCAGTGGTTCTATTTAGAACCATGAGTTCTGGATAGAACTATTTCATGCTTAAATTGTGAAACTGATGGAGAATGTGTTATATATGGTTCTATATGGCTCCAAAAAGGCTTCTTTGATTGTTACAAGCTTAATATCAAAACAATAACAGAGCCCTTTTTGGTTCTATGTAAAACCATTTTCAAAAAGCGTCTATAAAGAACCATGCACAACACACTCTCCATCCATCTGAAGATAGAACCGTTTAAGCATGAATCGTTCTGTATAGAACTCATGGTTCTAAATAGAACCATGCCTTCACTAAAGAACCCTTAAAGAACCATTCTTTTGAGACATGTGGCCCTGTTACTATCACTAAACAAACCTGCTTCGAATTTAACATGTTAAGTTATTGCAAACTGACGAAGAAAATGTAGTAATTTGTTTTAAAAGCATTTTGGAAAGGCTGCATGTCCCCAAACTTTTGATGGGCAGTATATATCACCTGCCGTGCTTCTGTGCCAACACGTCGAGCGCATTTGCGTTGGGTCACATTCTGAAGCGAGCATTTGTTTCCCTCACGAAGCCCTTATCAATCACTCTCCTCTCTCCTTGACGCTGCTGGCCATTCGGGTAAACAAACCACTTCCCTCTTTCTCACAAACCACATAGGTATTCGGTTGGCCTCAGCTGGATGTTTGTCAAAACTCGTACTCATAGAGGTACAAGCATGCACGCAAGTAAACAATCCTTTGGTTAAACAGACTTAGAAACTTACGTTTTCACAGCCATTGTGGATTTTTCTCTGAATTTGATACACTCGTATGAAAAAGTGCACCTAAATATAATACATTTTCTGCTAATTTAAGTGCAAATGCGCCATAACCTTTTTTCAACTATGTTAAATTCAGGAATTAAACAGTAATTGTGCATCAAAGTGTGTGCTCTCCATAGAGGATGTGTTCTTAATTTCTTTTTGATAATCAATAACATGTTATTAGAGCAGGGTGCCAAAACTTTTGCACACCACTATATTTTCGACAAATATAGCGATGTTGATGCCAGCATATGAAATTATTTCCATCAGCTGTTTTGATTAGCCTCTTAAATATGTAGAAACCTACTTCTATAACTTAAGAATAACCTTGTTTTCCATGTTATTACTATGTAATAAGCCTTAAGATGTCATAAACCAAGTCAAAAATTCACCTAACAGCTATTTTTCAGCAGCAAACAGAGTCTTGGCATATGCGTATGTTCTTCAAATGTTGGAACAGCATCTCAGGTGGCTCCTCATGAACTGTTTGGGAGAATGAACAAGAGTGTGTAAAGCTGCACCACAGCAAAGAGGGGCTACTTTGAAAGATTTAACTTTTTGACCACCACATGTGTTATTTTATAGTTATGATGTTCAATATTAATCTGAAATGTGGAAAAATAAGGAAAACATCTTCATAAGTAGTACAAATGGCAGTTAATTTTACCACTGTGGCAATAAAAGGGTCGTTTCAAGATGGTCCCCAACTTTGGTGCTGTAGTCGTATTTCTGTGCATCGTAAACAAATAACGTTTTTAAATTGAATCGTCAAATTATGACATAAGATGGGTTAATGGTCCTCAGCGTACATCGAAACATGACAAATTTGTTTTTACATAATCCTCACAAGCATAAAGGTTTTGCTTAATTGAATTAGATTAACATAACGATGAAACAAGGTCAGATTGTTGGCGGCATTATCTCAGTGTGGCTTTGTTTTTGACTGCGTTGTGGAACAATGCATGGCACGGATTTTATCACCCCCCCCTTCCTTTCTCTCGCGGATCCACCACAGCTCATAGTGTGGCTGCTCATTACTCATTCGTCATATTTACATATCTCATGAATATCAATGCAGCATGCTTTGCATATTAAAGACTAGCCATAATCTTAATAAGGTCTGATTATCTGGAGGATAATAACGGTGGGAACGAATTGTTGGTGGACTTTTCCCTTTGTCTCCCTCCAGTTTCCTCTCAGACAGTCACTGTGGACGAGCGAGCTGGTCTGAGGTCAGTAACAAGAGTGACCTCGTCCAGAACGGACGCCTTTAAAGCGCTAATTGAAGTGCTTAGGGACCTCTTGACTTTCGACCCGTGTGTGTGTGTGCACGCAGAAGGCTAGTGTAGATCTTTTTTTTTACAAGCTGGAATTAGTGATGCATCAGTGACTACAACAAATACATGAGCTCATCTGGTTGACGGCTTGATTTTACAATATGTGTTAATGAGATACGTGTGTGTTTGCTTTTCTAGCACTGATAGGCTGCATTTTTGGAAAGAAATTTAGAAATGTATGTACATCTGGAAGAAATGTAGACATTTTACCAATTTTCTGAAACAAAAAAAAGAAATTTACACACAGTTTCTGTAAGAAATTAATTTTTTGTTTTACACATTTTATGGAGTTTAGAAATGTACACATTTTCTGAAAAAAATGTAGAAGTTTTTACACATTTTCTGAAAGAAATTCAGAAATGTAGACATTTTCTGAAAGAAATGTGGAGGTTTTTACAGAGTTATGATATATTTTAATATTGCAATGTGAACATAGAAGGTATGTAGAAGGCCTTCCTCTTCTAGATCCTGTTTTTTTTCAGAGCTGAGAGAGTTTCCATCTCCTGGCGAGGGGATTAGCACTGTTTTTTCTCTTTAGTCCTCCATCAGGAAGTGAGGATGAGTGTAAAGAACAAACACTGGGCTGTGTGTGTGTGTGTGTGTGTGTGTGTGTCAGATTCTTGGTGTTACATTGGCACATGATAGAATGGGCATAAGAGTGAGAGTAAAGTATACAGATGACTTCAGAGTGCTGGACCATCCAATAATAATACCAGCTCATGAGAATATGCACACATACACTCACACTTGTCCTCTCTCTCTCTCTCTCTCTCTCTCTCTCTCTCGCTCTCTCTCTCTCTCTCTCTTTCTCTCTTTCTCTGTCTCTTTCTCTCTCTCTCTCTTTCTCTCTTTCTCTCTCTCTCTTTCTCTCTGGTGGTGTGACAGGAAAGGTCTTTGTTGTGAGTGATGAGGTCATCGTCAGTGATTTAGTGCTCATCATAAAGACCTACAAACACACACACACTGCAGGACAGACTGGACGGACCTCCTGACGGTCATGTCTCTGATGGTAGTGTTTGTGTGATGGACTGTCATGTTGGACAGAGCAGTGAATGTTTATGCAGGTTTTCTGGGCTGTTCTTGTAAAATTAGCTCATAACTTTAGAAACAATACAAATGAACTCAAATACACTCAAAAAAAAAGGAGAAGATATTTTATTGGATAGTTTAAAGGTTTGGTTCTAGATTCTTCTAGAAGCTCTCAGACATCGCAGGGATTTGTTGATTTACTTGATTTACCAAAATAAATATTGGTTAGCGAAATTAGGTATTCGACGCTAACAACAAATAATGCTATATATCGCTGCTGTCGGAACAAAACCTCGTATCTCCATTTTTGTCGTTTTTCAGTTTTTGACATAATCTGAAAATGCCTGTTCTCCTTTACATTGTCTGTAAATTTCATGATGAATGGACCAAAAGAAATGGCCCAAAATGACCCGGACAAATATCTGGTTCCATTGACTTACATTAGAAGTAGAGTACTTTTTTTCCTTCTCCTGTAAACTCTCAACTCTCAAATAACTCTTCTATCTCTCTCTATCTGTCTCCCTTTGTCTCTCTCTTTTTCTCTGCCTCTTTCTTTTCATACCTCTTTCTAGCTTCTACTCTTCTTTCTTACTCTTCTTCTTTCCCTTTATCTCTCTTTCTGTCTCTTTTCTTCAACATTTCTCTCTCTTTCTCTTTTTCTCTCTCCTCCTCTGTCATGTTTTCTTTATCACCCCATCTTTTCATCCATCTTATCTCTTATCTTATTCTGTTTCCCCCACATCACTCTTTTTCTGTTCTTTTTTACCATCTCTCTTATGCTTCATCTCTCTCTCTCTGTCTCTCTCTCTCTCTCTCTCTCTCTCTCTCTCTCTCTCTCTCTCTCTGAACAATAGTACTCTCTCTAATCTCCATGTAAAAGCTGTTTCCCCTCCCCAGAGGGCTGCTGCCCATCGTTTTGTCGTCTTTTCTGAAAGATGGGAGATGAAGGAGAAAATGGGGGGAAGGGAGGGGTAGTGGAGGGGGTGGGGGGGGAGGTTTGGGGGTGGAGCATTTAAAAGGGTACAAGGGGCCCGTTTGGGACTTATCAGCTGCTGCTGTTGTTTTTACTCCGTGGAAAGGTCTCTATCTCTCTCTCTCTCTCTGTTTCTCTCTCTCTCTGTTTGTGTCTCTCTATTTATATCTCTCTCCATCTCTGTATTTCCCTCTTTCTCTGTTATTCTTATATCCCCCCTTCCTGTCCCTGTATTTCCCTCTTTCTCTTCTATTCTCTCTCTCTCTCTCTCTCTCTCTCTCTCTCTCTCTCTGTATTACCCTTCTTATTATTCTCTATTCCTCTCTTTCCCCTCTCTGTATTTCCCTTTCTTATTTCTCTCTTTCTCCATTCCTCTCTATATTTCTTCACCCCCCTCTTTTTGTCTTTTCCTCTCTTTTTAATTCTCTTTCTTAATTCTCTTCTTTCTCTTTCTCTCTTTCTCTCACTATCTATCACTCTATTTCACTCTCCCTCTGTCTCCTCTCTCTCTCTCTGTTCGTTTACTTTCGCTGTCTTTCTTAGAACCATAGAGATTAAGTTATCTACAAGGTTGTTGGTCATATACCAAGTCCCCCCCCCCCCCCCCCCCCTCTCTCTCTCTCTGTCTGTCTCTCGCCCCCTCTCTGTGGGTTCATTGCCCTGGTGAACTGTAAACCGCTGCTCTCTTAACCGGTTTAAGGTTGTATTGAATTTGGCTCAGACCCCCTCTCCACCCCGTCCCGTGCCTGTGGGGTAACAGTAGTTGAAAGCTGGCTGCTGATTGGTCAATGAGCTTTAAGCTGATGTTTGAACTCCCCTGTGGGTCAGATGGCTCTTTTTATGTTGACTTTATCAGTTTTCTACTCAATTATCCATCCCAGGCCTCGCAGCTGAGGGCTACCCACCACACACACACTCACACACACACACACACGCGCACACACATGCACACACGTTCACACGCACCGTCCAGATTGCCTCTGATTGGAGAGAGGCCTTTCTTTTATTCATGTAAATGATGTTAATGTGATCTTCGCTGTTGACACAGGATCTGTGATTATGAAGATTTGGTCAATGATTAACCATTTCCCCTGAGGAACACTCGCTAACAAGGCTTGTCTGAGGGCCCGCTGCTCTTTTTCCAATCCTTCAACGCTTCATTAACCCTTAGACATGTCAACTACTGCTGCTGATACCAAAAACATGCTGTAATTTTTATATGGATGAGTTCAAAGGTGTGAGATGTTGTATTATGATTTGAATTTGAAAAAAGTTATTTTTTATACAGTCTTTTCTGGTGGTAAAAACATTTTTGCCACGTATTTGTCACCTTTAGTGTCAAAACAAATGGAAATCGGAAGTGCAGACTCAAACTTGCTGATGTAATTGTAACGCATTATGTAACTACAATGTAATTAATTGTGTAATTACGTTATTACATTAAAATAAGCTAGCAAAAAAACAGTAGTAACTCTGTAACACTTCATTATAACAGGCCAAAACAAACTACAACTTAAACATTGTGTAGTAGTTTGTTAATGACAGGCAATAGTTATATAATAGATACGTATGTATTGATAAATAGTATTTTAATCATTAACAATGTACTTAATGACATTTAAGAGTGTAGTAACCTAATATTTAATTGTAGTTTATTTATAGTGAATTAGCTATTTGATACCTGAGATATTTAACACGTAAAAACAATTCATAGTCATAATAAATAACTAATTAATCTACATGTTGCCTTAAAAGATTACGTAGTTATTTATTATCTTACCACATTGTGACGCATAAATGTTTCCTCAATGATGAGTACACTATTATTACATGGTGAATACATACCTTTAAATATTAATAATTAACTAATAAATAAATAGACATGAAATAATTGGACCTGTATCATAAAGTTGTAAATGTGTTTATAAAGACAGGTTGTATTATTTATTACACTTCAATATAATAAGAATTGTGAAATCCAATTGTAATGTTTGTATTTTATGAAGAAAATGGTTATTAATTCAAATTCTAGCACTTTTTAATGCACATTAATAATGACCTGTTATTACTATGACGTATTACTTTTTCTTACATGTACAAATGTCTAATCTCTCTCTCTCTCTCTCTCTCTCTCTCTCTCTGTCTCTCTCTCTCTTTGTCCTCCACAGTTTAACAGGTGTATCACGTCTCAGTTGATAAAGTGGTTCAGTAACTTTCGGGAGTTCTACTACATCCAGATGGAGAAGTTTGCACGACAGGCCATCAACGACGGAGTGACCGGAGCGGAGGAGATCGCGGTCAGCCGAGACTCGGAGCTGTTCAGGGCGCTCAACATGCACTACAACAAGGCCAACGACTTTGAGGTACACAAGTGTGATGATAAATACAGAGTTGCCATCAAACGTTTGGGGACGCTTAGCTTTTTAAAAACGTTTTTATCATAGATGAGTGTGTTCTCTTTGCTGGGTTGCAATAATTAAACCCAGAAACATAGAAATGTGTTTAGATCAAGCAACTGAAAGGATAACTGATAGAAGCCGAACTTTGGGAATATAGCCAAAGGCCAGTTGTTGTGAGGTCAGTTTCGGTAAGTTGTTTGAACAACAGTTTAGCAAAGAAAATTGTGAAATCGTTATTTAGGCAAAACACCAAGGAAGACACTTTGATAAACACCCAATGTTTCTTCTTCCCCTTTGCTGCAGTAACAGCCTCTACTCTTCTGGAAAGGCTTTACACTAGATGTGGAGACATTACTGTGAGGATTTGATTGCATTCAGATAGTTTTAGTGAGGTCCGGAGCTGGTGTTGGATGATCAGTTCTGGATCATCCCAAAGATAATAGATGGGGCTCCATCACTCCAGGGAACTCCATCACTTCAATGCCGGGGGTGCTTTACAGTTGGCCTTGGACATGGTGATCTCAGGCTAATGTGTGGCTACTCCAGAGTGCTCCATTCTATTGGTCAGTGCTTTTCTATGGAGATTATACAAGCAATGAGGGTGCAATTGAACACCTGAACAGCTCAGAAAATTAAAAACCAAGGAAAGATGTCCCCAAACTTTTGACAGGCAGTAACTGTGGACACTATCAGTTTGAACACTGTAAGGCTGATAGATATGGCTAAAGAGGTGGACTGGAGCAAGAGCGATTTGTGCTACAGTTATTAGAGCGAGTGTGTGTGATTAAAGAGTGTGTGTGTGTGTGTGTGTGTGTGTTTGTGTGTGTGTGTGTGTGTGTGTGTCCTGCGTGTCCGGAAGGGTAGTGCGGTCCCCTGGAAGGCCCAGGTCTGCTGGCAAAGCACTTCTTCAGAAAACACCTCACACAGGAGCAGAGCAAGGTTATGAGCCCTGCTGCTTTACAGAGAGAGAGAGAGAGAGAGAGAGAGAGAGAGAGATATGAGAGTGTGTGTGAGAGAGAGGGAGAAAGAGATAGAGAGAGAGAGAGAGAGAGAGAGTTGAGAGAGTGAGTGAGAGATGGGGAGAGAGAGAGAGAGAGATAGAGAGAGAGAGAGATAAAGAGAGATATGTGAGAGGTATAGAGACAGAGGTAAGACAAAGAGAGGAAGAGAGAGGAAGAGAGAAAGTAAGAAAGTATAGATTAGAGAGAGATTACAGAGCAGAAACGAGAAAAAGAGGAAGAGTGAGAGAGCAAGAGTGAGTGAGTGGGTAAGACAGAGAGATGTGAGATATAGAGAAAGACAGATGAAAGAGAAAGAGAGGAAGAGAGAAGGAGAAAAAAAGTAAGAAAGAGAGAGAAATGAGAGAGCAGGAAAGAAAAGGAGGAAGAGAGGGAGAGAGAATTTAAGAGAAAAAGAGAGATAAAAAGAGAAAAAGAGAGAGTTACAAATATGTTCCCTTTGGACCAATCACAGTCAGGGGGCGGTCTCGGAGGGCAAATGAGGCACTGTATAGGACAAATCACAGTTAGGGGGAGGTCTGAGGATGAGATGACCAACTGATTAGAACCAATCACAGTCAGGGGGAGGTCTTGGGAGCAAATGACATACTGATTAGAACCAATCACAGTCAGGGGGAGGTCTCGGGAGCAAACAAGGCACTAATTAGGACCAATCACAGGAGCAAATGACTGATGAGGACCAATGACAGTCAGGGGTAGGTCTTGGGGACAGATGACGCACTGATTAGGACCAATCACAGTCAGGGGGAGGTCTTGGGGACAGATGACGCACTGATCAGGACCAATCACAGTCAGGGGGAGGGCCCGAGAGCAAATGACATCATTTTGGTCAAAAAAATCATAATTTTCTTTCAAATCCCACCAGCTTAAGGCCCCTCAGAGCCCCTGGCAGTGAGAGGCCCCTGAGCACTAACCCCAGTGAGAATCTAATGAGTTTTTTTTCTGTCCTCCTTACATGTAACCTCTCGTTCTCTCTCTCTTTATCACTCCTTTCATCTTCTTCCTTTTAACTGTTTTCTATTTTAATATGACGGCAGCCACAATGCCCTGCAGTATACTCTCCAGTGATCTGAAAGAAAGGAGAGGTTGTTTCTTTTACACTCTGTTCTCTGGCTCCAGGAACTTAAGGCTTCATGCTCAAGATTATTTACATATATAAATGAGAAATTTGCATACGGAGAGGAGATCAGTGAATAAGTCTACTGTTGTTTGTGAAGTTTTGCCTGGCCTGCCTGTGTGTGCGAGTGTGTGTGTGTGTGTGTATGGGCGTTTGTCGGAGGCATGGTGGGGGGGACGTTTTGCATGTTAAGGATTTTCTCAGCAGGTGTCTGATGGATCTAATAGCTGATTAAAACTTTGCACAAGGAAATTTTGCCAAGCAATGCAAATCTTTACAAACCAACCCACCTGACCGTACAGTGCGCGTGTGATATGATGTACAGGCAGATTTTGTGCTGGTGGTGAACTTACATGCCCCCAAGACACCCCACCCCCCACCTGCCTCCATCACCATCAGAAACAGGAGACACACCGCTGATTCAGCACCACACACACACACACACACACCGGTTCACTGCCCATACAGTCAGCTCCACCTTGCAGGTCTCTTCAGCTTTACCTTTATCATATTCTCTCTCTCTCTCTCTCTCTCTCTCTCTCTCTCTCTCTCTCCCTTCCTAACTCTCTCTTTCACTCTTTCCGCCTCTGTTTTGTCCCTTCCTCTCTCTCTTTCTCACTCTCTCTCTCTTATTTTCTCTCTCTCTAAAACCTTCTCTTTCACTATTTTTGTCTTTTTTGCTATTTTTTTCTACCTCTCTCTCCCTCTCTCTCCTTGCTTTCTCTGTCTCTCCCTTCCTTGTCTGTATCTTTTTCACCTTTCTATCTTTTCTCTCTCTCTCTCTTTTCTCATTATCCCCTCTCTCTTTCCTTCTCCTTCTCTCTCTGTTTTCTTTCTCTCTGTCTCTATTCCCCTTTTCTTACTCTGTTTATTACTTTCTTCTCTCTCTTTCTCTCTCTCTCTCTCTCTCTCTCTCTCTCTCTCTCTCTCTATCTTTTCCTCTCTTTCTTTGCCTCTTCCTCCCTTCTTTTTGGCTCTTTTTCTTCTCTTTCTCTCTCTCTCTTTATTCCCCCTCTTCCACCTTCCACTTACTCTCTCTCTTTTTCTCTTTTTCACTTTTTTCTCCCCATTTCTTCCCCCTTTTTTCTGTCTCCCACTTCCCTCTCTGTTTCTTATTCACTCTCTCGCCCTCTCTCTCTCTCTCTCTCTCTCTAACTCTCTCTTTCACTCTCTCTGCTTTGTTTTTGTCCCTTTCTCTCTCAGTTCTCTCTCCCTCTCTAACCCTTTCTTTCAGTAATTCTGTATATTTTTGTCATTTTCTCTCTTCCCTTCTATCTCTCTCTTTCCTTTCTCTGTCTCTCTCTACCTTGTCTCTGTATCTTTCTCACCTCTCCCTTTCCCTTTCTTTCTTTCCCCTCTTTCTGTTTTCTTATTATCCCCCTCTTACTTTCCCTCTCTCTCTCTCTCTCTCTCTCTCTCTCTCTCTCTCTCTCTCTCTCTCTCCCCTGTTTGATGCTAATCAGCTCTGTCACTGATTTCTCTCTCCTGCGCTTCTCTCCGTCCTCTGAGAAGTCTTTTGTAGTTATTGTTTCCTTCCTTCTCTCTTTCCCCCTCTTTTGACGCGCTCGCCCGCTGTCTCCCGCCGTCTTTTTTGCTTCTGTTGCCTCGCTCCTTTCATCCTCTTCAAAATGCTTTCCGCTCCTCTCTTGAGCCCATTAGGAAGTTTTAATGATATTTTTTCCTCTCTCTCTCTCTCTCGTCCTCACGGCACAGTGAACAAAATCAGCAATTAAAGCATCTTCATTAATTACTCTTTCTCTCTCTCTTGTCCCACGCTGTCTCTCTCTCACTTTTTCCCTCCTTTTATGACAGTCACAGAGTAAACAACAACACCTCTTATGGGATTGGGGTGTCCAGATATTTAAGAAACATTTTGACAGATTCTGATACTCAAAGCAGGCATTTAACACCCTGATTTGGATTAGTTTGTCGGAGGAACATCTACAGTAAAAGTTTTACATATCCTTACGAAAAAACTTCCAGAAGGCAATAAAATTACTATAGCACAAGCAAGTCTCTAGTGGGTTATATTTTCTAACTACACATGGCCAAATGATCTTCCAAAGCATCCAACATTTCACAATTTGGGAAGTGTTTAATATAGATAGGTGCACTATGAGAATAAATACAGCTAGTAACATTTTTTTCAGGCACCTGACTGAAAATGTATGGAAATGTATATCCATACAGGACTAAAATGATCAGGAGTTTGAAGAAAATCAGTAGGTAATTCAGCCTGTAAGTTTCTCAGAGGAGGAAGATGAAAAACATGGCATGGACAATCTGGATGGAAATAAAATCACCAAGTAGCACCTGCCAAAAAGGAAATTGCCCCAATATCCTATGTATCCAAATCAGGCTAACGTGTTTTTAAATGATTAAACGTACTATTTGTCTTAGCAAATAGCTCTAATTTCTTGACAAAGTGACAAAGTTTCCCAAAATGCAAACGAAAAGATTCCCAACCTCCAGTTCTGGATCATTTCTAACATCCTGGTGATAGAGAAGTCCAGGTTGGTCTTAGAATCTCAGAGTAAAGATAACAGCAGGCTTATATGTTTATTTGTGAGTTCAGACCATGCTTTCAACATGGTGGTGGTAGTATGAGGGAAGACTGATTGACAGAGTGGGAAGAACTCTGAGAACTTGGGCTGGAGTTCTGGGCAGCTTCTGCCTGTAGCTAGAAGGCCAGATCCCCCCTCATAGCTATAGCAGGACTGATGCAGGACTGAGGAACAGGGAGGAGATTGGGTGGTGCTGGGGACTGCCAACACTTCATCACAGGTTTCGGAAGGTGAAGATGAAGAACATAACTACATTTGCAGTTC